CCCCAAAACCCCAAAACCCCAAAACCCCAATTAATAAAAATTAGCCAATTTCAAATAAAAATAAAATGATTTAAACCTCATGTTTAAATGAAGCATTTTGGCAAGTTAATTATATATATTCCATTGATTTTAATTCTGATAAGTATTTAGATCCATTAGGATGTCTCTTAATGCTTTCATTATTGCTATTAATGATGTGATTAATTCTATTATTATATATTTCTTGATCTGCTTGTACTGCTACTTTACTTCCCAGCTGGAGTGCTTTGATTAGAAAAATTTTATGATCTTTATATTAAGTTTTGTTATCCCGACTACATATTCTGATGTTACTGAACTATAAGTTGCTAATTTTACTACTATTATATCTATTATAGATTGGTAAATCTTATTAAGCGTTCTTTTTCTTGCTATTGTTATAATGATATTTATTTTTTTTGGCACAATGATTTTTGCTATGTTGCTACCTTAGTAATTTTAGGGTTGCTAGGAGACCAAATCTCTACATCTCCATCTGTGTAACCAATAAATAACTCGTGACTTTACTCATCATAGAATAAACTTGACAACTAAAGAGCTATAAAATAATATAATGTCTTACTTTTCTATGATTTTAGAGTCTTCTTCGACGACCAAGAGCATTTCTACATTAGAACTAGGAGTCACCGATTTTTTAATTTATTTTGACTCTAGCTATAACTTTTTCATTTTAAATATCTATTATATTGACAAAGTCCTTCCCATTGTTTTATTCTTGGAAGTAAGAGAAAAGATATCTCTTAGATAGTGATACACTGACTATGTAATTTGATGTAGATCCACCTGCACCATCATTTCCTGTTTCTATTTTAGTGCTTAGTACCTAATCATCAAAACTAAACATATAAAGATCTAAATTTATCTTACTTTGTTAGTTTCTCACCCTCACTAGACCATATTTCAATTTTGCCTTCTTTCAAGGTTAAAAATTTTTCTTTTTCATAGAGGAAAATGAATGCTTCTGGAGCATCAAAGCCTTCAATAACTTTAAGACTTTTATCCCAAGAATTATAGATTTTAAGGTTCTTGTCTTTTTGTTTGATCATTATTTTCTCATTAAATTGTTCAAGAAATTCAATTTCATTTTTAATACTGCTGAACTCAAACTTTTAGATCTCTTCCCCTGTATGAATATTTATCATAGTCATTGGAATAGATCCATTTTCTAATTGATGCAAAAGCAGCATTACACCATTGCATATCTTGAATTCTGCTATAGTTTCGTTTTTTAGTACATATTAAAGCTGATATGTTGCTAGAGACCAAACTCGATATGCCTCTTCCTAACTGTGCTTAGTAATAATCTTTTGATTGATCTCATCAAATTCAATAAAATCAGGCCATCTCAGCGCAAAATCCTTAAATAGCTTTTAGCCCTTGAACTCTCCTCTTAAGAATACATACTAGCTTAAGTTATCTTGTTTGATATCTAGAGAGGCAATCTTCTAAAATGCCTTCTCGATTGTCTTAAAAGTTACTGTTCTACACTTTAAAGATTAAAACTCATCTTTCTTTGTGACAGAAACAACTATTATAGATTCATTCACTCTGTTTAAGAAAATACTTCTGATTTATTCGTTCTAGCTTTTATTAAAAAACATTACTTTCTAAGTATCTAAAGAGTATGTTAGTATTTTGCAATAATTGAAAGATTAATTGCATTTGGAATCAGAAATTAAATAAAAATGTTTCAAGAGAAGTATTCTAAGATTTTATACTTACGTTTATCATGAATTGAACATCTTCCACTCTCAAGTAATGAGACAATAAATTGGTTGTTAAATGTTAACACCTCAAGTACTAAACTAGATTTGTTCATTTTCTGTGTAAAAACTCTTGAGGCAAGCGGCTTGCAATCATAGAGCAACTATTAAATTAATTTAACGGATACCTCTGAAAGAAATGTTACCTTTGGAGTCAACATCTCAAATTGATGCTATATAATCAAGTCTCTGCAAAGCTTTGGTTGCTGGAGAAGGTCTTAGTCGTTTTAAATTGACTAAAGATTAAGCATTCCATAGGACTTTTTTGCCTAGAAGTACTTGAGCATGAAATTAGTGGCAGCCATTTTTTAGAGGAGTTAAAAGTTGGAAATATAGGTAAATTCGGTTAATTATTGAGAGAACTTTCAATTTATTAATAATCTTTAAATTTAATCACTTACTCATTTACACATTTTTATCTATTCTCCATTTCAGCCATTATTCTCAACTACGGGGTTTTGGGGTTTTGGGGTCTCAACTTCAACTCTGAAAGCCTAAAAAG